CTCTCTCTCTCTCTCTCTCTCTCTCTCTCTCTCTCTCTCTCTCTCTTCCACTCCCTCCCCTCCCCCCAGAGGGCAGCTTTGTCAGAAAGTTTTCAAGGCGTCATCATCTGCCTCCCCTCCATGGCTTGGTTTACAGGCAGTCGTGCACTATATACTAAGGAAAGGTTGAAATGATATAGTCAGCACGATCCCAGATTTATGAAATACGTGGGCTTTATAAAAATAAGGGAGAAACCGAACAATCCTGGGGGGGGGGGAGCGAGGGGTGTCTCTTTTCTATTCTTGCGAAGTTTTCATCTAATCGGAAACTAGAAGGATGCCAGTTTTTGCATTCTAGCTCATGGACCAGCCGACGTCTCGGTCCCCCGCCACCACACGCTGTTATTGAACTTGGGAGACTTTCCCTCCGGCCCAGAGAGCCTGGTCCCTGGTACACGAGGCTCTTTCAGACCCACCTCCCGGCTGCAGCCGGGTCACAGGAAAGCCTGGCGTCCTCGTGATCCGGGATTTTCCCATTCTCCTGAGCATTCAGATCCGGTTGCTGGGAGAGGCTCCGCGGGGGTCCGCAGTCTGGGAGGGGAGAAGGGATGGGGTGGGAATTAGAATGGAGGGTGGGCAGAGCGAAACCGAGAATCGCCGTGCCTAAAAGGCGCTGAGCTCGCCTGACCTCTCCTCTCCGTACTTGAACGCCCTCACGCTCTCTGAAAGACTGAGAACCAAAAAGACTGCTGACTCCACAGAGCAGATCTCCTTTGGCGTAAAAGTCGCGGACAGATGTCTTTCTTCTAAGCCACCCTGTGGGGCCCTGGCAACTGAGGGAGTTGGGCAAGAGAATAAATTTGTCTTTTGTTTCTTCCAAGTTTCTCTTCCCCTTCTACCAGCTCGGTGTCGGGTGTTTGTCAAGGAGAGAAGGTTTTTTTTTTTTGTTTTTTTTGTTTTTTTTTTGTTTTTTTTTTTTTTGCAAAAATAGAAACTTCCTTCTTGCAATCACAATCTCTCTTAGAAACTAAGGACTGGATCAGAGGGAGGTGAAGGTAAGCGGTTTAGAGGGAGCCTTCCCTAGTTCATCGATTCGGAGGAACCTCCATTTACAGCCAGTACTGTTTTAAACAAAACAGATTCTCAAAACGTGAGAAACCTTAACGGCATGCGTGACCCCCACCCGGGGGAGCCGTGCAAACTTCTTTTTAAACCGTTTGAACACCTGGCTCATTTTAGTAAAAACATCTCTGCAGCGGCTCATCTGTGGCATTTGCAACCAATCAGCCTTGTGCAAAAACAAAGCCCTGTAGCCCTTCGTTAGTTTCGCAGGACACAGGAGTCAGAGAGGAGCAGCTTGTCCCATGCATGCAGCTGGAGTGTCAGTGAGGCTGTGTACCTAACACACCTACACACACCCCTCCTTTTTTTCTCCAGGAGAAGAGACAAGGCTCAGGAGTCCAGATCTAGCTAGCTGTGGCCACTGGAAAGCTCTCAGGTGAGTGTGTGCATCTTGGTATTCAGCATGCAAAGGGTTAAGCCTGGAGTTGTGGTGGGGGGTGGGGGTAGTGGGGAGAAAGAGTCACCCTTTGGCTCCTGTCTGTTAGCAGAACTTCTTTATCGTTTAATTTCTCTCCTTGTTGTATAATAGTTTCATTGTTAACAGGTTATTACTGTTTGCCAGATGTTCTGTGTTTTACAACTGTGTGGTGTCAGATAGCAGGGTAATATATTGTGTAACACATGCATTGCCAATGAGACTTTACTATCTCTAATTCTATCTCACTCCACAAAAATATGATAGTTTATGGGTTTTGTAAAGAAAAATAATTGTTGGATATTTGAGCAGGTCTTCGTGTTCCTGGTGTCAAATTCCAAAGGTGTGGGTGTGCTCTGGAAAATCTCTCTTTTTCCCCTGGCCCTTGGTTCCCCTTCCTGAGACAAGCGTTGTTACTACTGTATAGTGTGTTGGCCTTCTGTGTATTTGGTATTTAAAACTAGCAGAGTTCAAAAACTTTTGTTGAGCCTCTACACACAAGTGACTTAAACAAACAAACAAACAAACTACTACTCTTAAATTTGTTATGTTAATTGTTCATTTCTGTCTTTCTACTGAATACTGAAGTGCCAAGGGTTGAAGCTACTTTGTAGAAGGTCCTTGGGCCTCTGGAGATTAACAGATTAGTTTGTTTATCTGCCTTCTTCACTCTCCAAACAGCCAGCAGAGTTGCCCCTGAATGGTAGGCCCCTGCTCTCATGCAGGAGTAAGGATGATAGACATTTGTGGTAAGCCAGTGTTTAGATTCATATCCTCTTCTGAGACAGCACAGGGAGCCCCACTTCCCTCCGTAACAACGATGTGGCTTCCAGGTTCATAGCTACCTGGCTACAGCACGTGCTTCTGAGTCCCTCTTCTCTTAACTTCTATAGTTTGCAAAGTATAACTGTGAGCCCAGGAAGGGGAGGCAGTTTGTGGAGCGCTCAGAGTCAGTGTCTTTGAGTCTGGACCCTGGCTTTAGCACCTTTTTAAAGAGCAGAACCCATTCTTTAAATCTACATAGCCCCATCTCTATCTGTAAAGGGGTAAATCCTGGAGCTGTTTTGAAGATAAGCTGAAATGGTACAATCAAAGGGCTCAGCACCGTGCCTAGCACACAAAGGCATATCATAAGCAGAAACCCTTCTAACTGTCAGTTTGACACCATTTCGTCCTCCTAAGACAGGCAAATGCATTTATCAGCCTAGAATGGAATAACACATAGCCTCAAGAATCACAGGGACTCTCCTCTCCAAGGGGACTCTCCTCTGGAACTCAGACTGAAGTAGTGGTTCCTTAGGGGGCTGTGTTCTGGCAAGGGAGGTGACATAATGAAGGAAGGTGAAACTACATGCTGGTTTTTTTAATCATTTGCTTGGCAGTAAGCCTCTGCATAGCTTCTATTCATGTTTGTTTGTGTTGACATGGTTATTAATGGATTGGGCCAGCAGTCTGAACCAGGGGACCCTTTTTTAAAGGAACAGCAGGGAAGGAGGGGCGGAAGTAACACTCTACCTCAGTGTTTGCTGGATGGAATCATAACTGTAGACTCAGAGGATTACCAAACCCTAAGAATGAATTCACACCAAGACTACCATGGGCTCGGACTCAAAGAAGGTGCCAGCTCTCCCTTAGAGGACCCTGAGTCCCAGGTGGGAGAGCCTATTTGCAACAGAGACTTTGGCAAGCAGATCTACTCAAAAAGACAGAACTGTAAACGCACAGGTTATATAAAGCATACAAAACAACATTTAGCTGTCAACAAATATACCATAGTTGGAAAAATCCTCTTCTAATATAGTTCTTATGGAACTGTCAAAGCCCAAGGATGAGCTGGAGTCCAACCATTTCCTAGACAAAATGGAGGTGGTTCCTGCTCTTTGAAGTTCTTTGCTTCTTATTTAAAAAGTGTGTGTGTGTGTGTGTGTGTGCATGCACGTGTGTATATGCACATGTGTGTAGAGGTCAAAGGCTAGAGTGAGGTGTTATTCCTTAGGCATCTACAACCCTCTTTGGGACAAGACCTCTCATTTGTCTCCATTTTGCAAAGTAGGCTAGGGTAGCTGGCCAGTAAGCCCCCAGGGACTTGCATGCCACTGCCTCCTCTCTTACCAGCCCTGGGATTTCAGGTATTCAACATGCTCCTCAGGGGTCTATGTGAGTCCTGGGGATCTAGGCACAGTCCTTCCGTTGCCAAGACAAATGCTTTACCAACCGAGCTGTCTTCCAAGTTCATCATTTTATTCTGATGTTTTCACTTGCATGTGAAATGCAGTTTTATTGTATACATTTTTTTTACACAAACAGGGACTACAGATGGAAAGTGAATGTTACCCAAGATTCACAACAACGAATTCTTTTTATCAATTGCTAATTGCATCATTGCATAATGCAGCGTAATTATTCTTATTCATGATGTCTACTTGAATAATTGAGGCTCGATTATCATAATGAAAGTGTATCCAAATGGCAGCATGAACTGGTTTAATCAGTGCCACCCATTGCATGGTAGTTAATTCTTGTTGGCTTTTGTTTCAATTATTTTTACCATGTTTGGCCCAAGACTTTGAGGATTCCTTTTGCTGTTTTTGTTTGTTTCTTTGTTTGTTTCTTTAACTTACACTGGAGATCTCCTACCTTGCTAGGCAGTTCAGTATGATGCAATAAAGTCCAAGAGAGAGGGATGTAGAGTTAAAATTAGAGATCAGTGTCTAAGTTAACGAAGGACATTTTGCTTAGCTGTCATTTATGGGATAACTACGTGCAGCTTGGTTTTAGCAGCACAACTTTGTAAAAAAGAGAAAAATAATGTCTGAAAAGCAAACGACTCTGGCTATGAGAGGAAGAATGAGGTGGCCTAGACACTGAGACTCGGTTTTAATTTCTATTGCTGAGATGCGACACCATGACCTAGGCCTTCATATACAGAAAAGAGTTTATTTAACTTGGGATTGCAGTCTCAGAGGGATAGAGTCCATGCCTGTGGATAGGGAGGTGTGGCACTGCACCTCACACTGAAACACGAAAGCCAGGCAGCAAGAATTAACAGAGAACAGAGTGAGCTTTTGAAACCTCCAACCCACCATCTCTAGACCGCCTCTAACAAGCCCACACCCCCTAATCAGTTCTATACAATTTCACTAACTAGATACCAAATATTGAAACATATGGGTCTATGGGGCCATTCCCATTCAGATCACCACAGACCGTGTCAAGAAACACAACAGATGAGGTTGGGGATTTAGCTCAGTGGTAGAGCACTTGCCTAGCAAGCACAAGGCCCTGGGTTCAGTCCTCAGCTCTGAAAAAAACAAACCAAACCAAAAAAAACAAAAACAAAACAACCCACAATAGAGTAAAAGGTTGGGATAGAAGGGTCATGAAAACAATCCGGGTTTTTTGTTTTCAAACCATGATAGTTTTGATACCAATGTCTAAGATAGATGGTACTTTAATACTAACCTATTTTCTCTTTGTCATAAACAACAACACAAAAAAACAGTACAACTATAATAATTATAATTTATAATTTTTTTATAATTTCACTTAATTATAAAACTTATTGATGGGGGCTGGAAAGATGGTTCAGTGGTTAAGATCACTGGTTGCTTTTCCAGAGGAAAACAGAAAAGGAATCCTCAAAGTCTTGGGCCAAACATGGTAAAAAACTGGGTTTAATTCTCAGCACCCACATGACAGCTCACAACAGTCTGTAACTCCAATTTCAGAGAATCCGATACCCTGATATGCAGGCCAAACACCAATGCACATGAAATAAAAATAATTTAATTAAAAAATACTTATTGAAGATTATTGCTTCCCAAGCCCCAGATCAACATAAGCAGATAGACACCAACTACATAAACAAGCGAGGGTCACTCAGAGGCCATAGTGAACAGTCAGAAGCTATTGAGAATGGTGCCTTCACCACACTTGGTGGAAGGTGTTGTGTGACTGTGGCAAAAAGCCACCAATAGGCACAGAGCAATCAAGGGCCAGAATGAAACAGACAGTATTTCTATTTGTATGAGAGAAATTACTCTCTGTAGAGACACGTGTGCATGTGTGTACGTGTGCGTGTGTGTGTGCTCACCGTATTTATGCTTGTGTGGAGAACCTGTTTATAAAGTTAAAGGTGGCTTTATAGTAATCGATTCTAGAACAGAGAGATAAAAGATTCGGATTGAGAGACTTGTTTCTAAATGCTTTTTGTTTTTTGAACTTTTAAGTGATATGTGCATATAGTTTTAAAACAGATTTGTTATTTTTTAATGGTAATTCTTTTTCAAGATAGCTTCAGAAAAATTTAAGAAATGAAATTTTCTTTTCAGTTGTTATCCTGTGAATAGCACCCCTTCCCACTTGTACTATAGCGCCCTGTGTATAGTGACGTATAGGTGGGCACCTCAGGCCTTGGACTCCAAGAACGCTGGTAGTAGCACTGCTGTTGTTAATGCCTCCTTTCCATTTACAAAAAACCAAGGACACAAATAACTCCAGTACCAGCAAAGGCTGTGGTACTGAGTAGCCTCACAGGAGTTGTTAAAAATGTAACGTCTAAGCAAAATTAAGAGAAATTCAAGATTTAATTTAATATAGATTAATTTAATGACATAAGTTGATATGGTTGCAGTTATTTATAATTTTAACATTTAAAAAATTTTTTCTTTATTTCTTGAATGTATGGACGTTTTGCTTGTGCGTATGTCTGTGTACCATGTGTATGCAGTACCCAAGGAGGCCAGAAGAGGGCGTCACATTCCCTGGAGTTGGAATTACAGAAGGTTGTGAGCCACCATGTAGGTACTGGGAATCTCACCAGGCTCTTCTTCTGGAAGAGCAACCAGCTACTCTATCTCTCCAGCCCTCTGTTTATAGCCTTTAAGTTTCCTATTTTAAAAGGAGTTCTCAATTTTAGTAATCGTGTTAGAATAGAATTAAAAGACTGTAGGTTTTATTTGAGTATAGCTTCAATGAGGATATTAAAACCCAAACCAGTTTGTGTTTAATAGTCTCACTAGACAGCTCAGGCTGGGCTTGAACTAATGATCTTTCTGCCTTAACTTCTCACCATGATGTACCTGATTTTAATTTTTTAATTACAACCATCATGTTTTTTGGTTTGCATCACTATTTAACTGAAAAGGGAATGAAACCTCCCTCTGCTTTCTGTAAACCACTGTACTATGAGCAATCTCATAACCATCCACATTATAAGAATGGGCAAAGGAGAAATGAAACAAAGCAAGAGGAAGGGGCTAGTATTGTTCTTAGTGTAGGCTCCTCAAGCTCATTTTGAGCATACTCTTAGAGAGGACCATACGGGCTGAGCTAACCGGATGCTTTGACTGTTGCAGGCCGGGGAGTGTCATGTCTACCTTTGAAGACGCTGATACAGAAGAGACGGTCACTTGTCTCCAGATGACCATTTACCATCCCGGCCAGCAACAAAGTGGGATATTTAAATCAATAAAGTTTCGCAACAAGGAGAGATTTCCTTCTATTGAAGTGGTGAAATTTGGACGGAATTCCAACATGTGCCAGTATACGTTTCAGGACAAACAGGTTTCCCGAGTTCAGTTTGTTTTACAGCCGTTTAAACAGTTCAACAGCTCAGTTCTCTCTTTTGAAATTAAAAACATGAGCAAGAAGACCAGCTTGATGGTGGATAACCAGGAGCTTGGCTACCTCAATAAAATGGACCTGCCTTACAAGTGCATGCTCAGGTTCGGAGAGTATCAGTTCCTGGTGGAGAAGGAAGACGGAGAGTCGGTGGAATCTTTTGAGACTCAATTTATCATGTCTCCAAGACCTCTCTTGCAAGAGAACAACTGGCCAACACAGAGTCCCATACCGGAGGATGGGGTGTATTCTTCGTACTTCACGCACCGAAGTTCTCCTGCAGAAATGGATGAAAACGAACTGTGAAGAGGGTCCAACCTGGAGACGCGTGAAGGATGAAGACACATGAGAGACATCCTCCTTCCTTGGAGTTTGTGAATGTAACGTAGCACGGATGTCTGCATGCTGACTTTAGTTTTGGTAATAGCACTTGGAAGTCTGTAGACTGTGTTAGTCATCAACTTAGTCAACTGTTTGAGTTTCGGCTCTACAAAGAATTAAACGTACATCTATAAGGGTTAGTGCATAAGACACGTCTTCTGTGTGATGAGGTCACGCTTGTTGCTTTTCTACATGACGTCATCCCCGTGCTTTGTCTTGGTAGCAGCCATCTCTTGGCCTGGTCATATCATTTCGTATCAGCCTTTGTTTTTCAAGTTTAGAGCTCAGGCAGATTGTTCGCTGGTGTCTGCGGCATGCTTGTGCTTGTAGAACCAGAGTCCTGGAATAAGTTCTAGAGTGCTGAGTCACTGAGTTGCTGTGGCTTCATTATCGAAAGACTTGAGAACTAGCTCCTTGCTTTCTTTCTATGGAACTGTAATGTTTATTTCTAAGACAGCAGTTTTGCTTTCCTATACATAGGATGTACAACTAACACCTAAAGAACATTGAGATGAAGATTGTTTTCTTATGAAATTGAAAATGAATGTTATGTATCGTACAGATTTAAAAATGGCAGAAATCAAAACTTTTAACAGCCTCTTTGCATATGATAAAGTCGGAGCTCAGTCCCTCAGCTGCTTGTTTGAAATTTCTTAAAGGAACACATCTGTTCTTAGGCTGCTTTATAGAAGTCAGTATATGTGAATATTTATAATAAATGCTTAAATATTTCTAAACTTTTAGTTTCACATGGAATTGTATTTATTTAAAAGATTCTCATTCACTTCATTTCAGCTAGATTAAGATGAATGTTAGTGAACATTATGGAAGGGAGAATGATAGCTATTAAGTTACGGTAAATTCTAGCATGTCCCAGGAAGTAAAGGCTCCCTGTATAACTTCCTCGGTAAATGAAACTTCATGCTGTATCAGGTACAGGATTTTTGGTGGGGGGAGGGGTCAGGTGGGGAAAGCTAGCCACATACATATTTTACTTTTGTTTTTTCAATAATAGCTTGCTTTGAAGCTTAGGCTGCTTTTGAACTTGTGATCCCCATATATCAGCCCCCCAAATGCTGTGCCCAGCTTAATGTAACTATATTTCTGCAACAACCCTTTGGAACCATTTCTAATCAACTGTTTAGCCTGGTACCATATGCATGTTATCTGCAGTATGCCTCTTGCGGCAAATCACCAGTCAACCCCTTGCCTATAAAATAAGACATCAGCTGCTGCCCCAGCCCAAGGACTGTTGCTATATGGGTACCACTTCCTGCCTATGTGGCAAGTGTCCAGGTGACTATTTTGTTTCTTGCCTCGTATTCCTGCTGACTCCTGTGGTAAGCTGTTGCCTGTAGCTTTTCGCTACCCCACCTATGCTCTAGGAATCGGACTGCACTACCAACCCCCTCCTCAGCTTCCCTGAATCATCAGATAAAAGACACACACACAGTTGTTCATTTTCAACTTGCCTTCTTGGCACAATTGTTGGACACTACTCTCTCCCTCCTGGAAAAGCGAGCCCTTATCGTTACTCTTAGCTCTGCTCCTCCCACCTGCCCTAACCTTAGTCAGTTGAATCTAGTCCCTGCTAAACATCTCTAACCACCCACCTATAGGAGTGGCCACAGCCCACCGCTCCTCCCAAGACCTCACATGGTTGCCTAGTTCTCCTCTCTCCAAAGCATAGCAAACTCCCCTATTTCCTTCCTTGCATCTCCCTTTTCCTCCAGGGAACCGGAAGTCCCGCCTATACCTTCCGCCCAGCAGGTGTTCATGTGCAGCCTGCCAGAACCTGTCATGACACAGCAAGGACAAATGAATGATGCAGGTAGAATTAAGGTTGCTCACTTGATGATCTCAAGTTAAAGAGGCCATCCTGGATTATCCCAGACTCAAGTAATAACAGGGTCCTTAAAAGTAGAAGGGGAAAACAATGGTACCAGAAGGTTGCAGTGTGACGCGGACTTGGCTGACTGGTATGGGCTTTGCCCTTGGAGGAAGGTCATGAACCAAGGAAAACTGCAACTTCTTGGAGACAGAAAATGTGGATAGACATCTACATGTTGGAAACAGCATGGAAACGTCAGGAAGAATCTAAATCCTGGGGACTCTTTAGCCCAGTGACAACTGCCGTTGACTTCCACTCACAGAGCTTTCGGTTTCTACATCTTTGTTGCAAATTACGGCACTTTGTTACAGTAGCAAAGAGAAAACAAACATACCCCCTCTTATGTAAAGTCTTAGTTATTCTATCACTGTGAAGAGACATCAGGATCAAGGCTACTTATAAAAGGAAACATTTAATTGGGGGACTTGTGCACAGTTTTAGAGGCTGAGTCCACAGCCATTTTAGTAGGGTGGCAGGCAAGCAGGCATGGTGCTGGAGCAGCAGCTGAGAGTTCACATCCTGATCCAAAGGTTGAAAGGAGAGAGAGGGAGACTGGGACTGGCTTGACAACACCTCCTAATCCTTCCTAAACAGTCTACCAACTGGGAAGCAGACACTCCAATTTATGCGCCTATGAGGGCCTTTCTCATTCGACCCACCAACCCATGCACTGTCATTTCTTGCTCGTGTTGATCAATGGCCTCCATTACACTACCCTCCTTTAGGATTATAACTTCTCTTCTGAAGCAAATTTGCAAACTAGATCACCAAGCTTGTTTAGAAGTGCTTGCAGTGTGAGCCATCTGGGGCAAAGGCTGCCGAGGAGGGCAAGAGGTGTATGAGAGTGTTCTGATGACAAATAACAACACCTCTTCTGAGCTATTCAAGCACAGATGGGATTATTAATGGGAAGTTCAAGTGCCTCCTAGTGAGATTGCATTGCCCAGGCTCATTCCTAGATGCCTGCTGGCCCCATTCTCCACCCACACGGCTGCACGTGGCCACCAGGAACTCCCAAGATTTTTATGTATTAATCACTTAGAGAATCTGACCTTCCTGGTTCAGGTCTTAGAAAGAGTAAGCTTGAAATGAGAAGCCCAAGCCTCCTCCAACCAACTCTCTGAAGGTATCAGAATCACCTTGTGCCAGAAGTGGGGTGACCATATAGGCAGGGTGGAGGGTTGGGAGTCTGGGGGTTGGGGAGGAACATTTTCTAACAACTACAGATAAATCTCCACAGCAGAGTGGAAACAAGACCAAAAGAAAAGTGGTGTTTGGTGCCACATACTGTGTAGCTAAGTGAAAATTTCAACACAGGTCTTAGGGGACTCTACCTCTGGAGTGGGTATCAAGCTTTTAAAGGGGCATGTCAACTTGTTACATGTTGTAACCGTCATTGTCCCAGCCACTGGCATGCTTTTCTTGGATCTGTAACTTCATGGCATGGCCATGCAGTCCACTGGGGAGAGCGAACTCTTATGGCATATATGAGTCTTAAAATTTTTATTTTTAAAACTTTAGGTGTGTGGGTATGCCTGTGTGTGGGTATGTACTACAGTCATAAGAAGTTGAGAGCTTCCAGATATGAGTGCTTGGAGCCAAACTTGGGTCTTCTGCACAAACAGTAGTCAAGGTACTCTCAACTGCGGAGTCATCTCTCCAGATCCTGGCACAAGGTGAAACCTTTTTTTTTTAAATTAGATTTATTTATGTGTGTGAAAAGTTACACATGAGGGGTGGAGATCAGAGGTCAACTCTTGAGAGTCAGTTATCTCCTTCCACGTATAACTTCGACAACCAGTTTCTTAACCAATTTTACTTCTGGAAATATGCCCTGACTGACAGGCAGAAGCTCTAACATGAGTAAAAGTATTTGTTTCAGTGGGTGAAGGAGAGGGTGTGTTTCCCTACAAACTGTACTTTAAAAAACAATTTATATGTGTTGATAATATCTACCTGTTACAGAAAACTAGCCGTAAACTTACTGTCAGGAGGTGCTGTTGATAGTTTGAGTAGCAGCTGCCTCTACCTTATCTAAAGATTACATTGTGTCTTCTACCTAGTCTACTTCCATGATTGTTACTTGGGAATGTAATTTATGGTGTGGGCTGTGACTGGGGCCATCAGTCTCCATTGCAAGTGATGACTAAGGAGAGAGCCGTGGAGAGCGTGGTTGGGACTCAGCGAGCTTCTAGCTGGTCTAAGTTGCTCCAAATCCAGTTACTCATCCCTCTGCTATTCGTCTACAGGAAAATATTTCTCTGCCTGCAACTCACCTGTCAAGTACGGGGTTTAAGATCAGGGGCTGTGGGGAAACAAATGGCAAAGGTGGGTCAGCCCTGTTGCTGGTTTCGTTTTCTTCTTGGTGGAAGGCCACGAAGGAATTGGAGGTGAGTATTCTGGCCTTGCTGCCAGCATCAGGGATGTCACTGCTCCAAAGACGAAATCTTGGTAACACGGAAAACTTCTGAGGTTAGATGACCTCTGTAAGCTGTGACAATGTAACCCATCTTAGGCCTTTTTATGATGCCTGTCTCTCAAATTCCTTGCCCGAGAAAGACAACATTTACCCTTCCTACTGAAGCCCAACCACAATGAGCTTGTCATGCTTACAGATAGGACAGTGAGTGACAGGTTACAGGCAGGAGCATGGGTGGCCTGGAAGGAACCACACTAAGAGGAAGGTCTGCTCAGCCTAGCATGGATTCTATTTCCATGGACTCTCCTATGGCCATGTAGATGGACCCCCTACTCCCGTCCTTCTCCACTTATGTGCTCTAACTCTCCCTGAAGCCAAGGGCACTGAGGGCATTGGATACAACTGGTTAGGAGAAAGGGATGGACATTTGAGTGAGGGTCCCAAGACCCTCCCCAGTCCTTCCTCCACTGAAGAAAGTCCCCAGTCAACAAGTCTAGCTGGGATGATCTTTTATAGGAGGGCACAGATGATCTGATCATGAGTTTGTCTCAGAAGTGCACACACACACACACACACACACACACAAATCATAATTCAAACAGGATAGAAAATAGTTTTATTCTAGAGCCAAGTATGAACGACCATAGCCTGGAAACACAGATTTAGGTTATCCCAAACTCCATGCATCCACCTGGAAGCAGTTTCATGAAGTTTTTATAGAAACAGAACAAGAAAAGTCTAAGTCCAGGTGCTTTTTGGATGCACGGGCGTAAATATTAAGTGGCCCCGCAGCACTGTGGGAAACCTCGGCTGTAAGCCTCAGCTGTGGTTCAATGACTTTTAACCTTTTGGTTAGTGGGAAATTAGGGTGTTGTTACTAGACTCCAAAAGGTGTTATCTGTAGTCAGGATGTTAGGCTCTAACATAGAGGGGAGCACAGCATCACTACGGAGTGAGTGAGTTAAAAGGAGCCTAGGATCAACTGCAATTAGTTTCTGGACCTACAACATTCTCAATTCTAGAATCACTGAAGTTTTCACAGGCAGTTTCTACCCAGGAATTATCCACAGAAGATAAATCCCCGCTAAGTAAATGAAACAACACAAAGTCCAAGCTTCCCAACCCCTCACAAACAATGCTGACCCAGATTCTAGATGAAGCATGAGGTTCAGCTTGGGCTATGAATCACACTGCCAGGGGTTAACTTCATTTCCCACATATCCTGCTGCTTTATTTTCGTTTTCCTTCTTTGAAACTGAGGATTGAGGCAGTGCCTGCCACACAGGACCTCTGTGAAGCTCAGCTGAGGTGTGGTGTGCAGTCCCTCTTCACCATGCTCTATGTTATGTAAGGAGTAGCACTGAGCAACTTGGCCTCGTATCTAATGTTGTCTGTGTTAAAACAGCTCGCACCTCCATGGACCTAAAAGGGAA